AGTCTGAGCTCCATCTTGTTTCTAACATATTTCAGCCCCTCCAGGGTCCCCGGTCTCACCTTTCTTCTGGCCACCACTTTGGAGGCTTTGAGGGTCTCAACCTTGAAGGTTCGTATAATCTGCGGGAGACAAATCAGAGAAGATCATTCAGCGAGAGTCACCAATTCACCTGCCGCGCAGCACAGCGTTCAGGTCTGACACCACACGGCTCCATCATGTATGTGCTGTGTCACCGACCGATTTCAGTGGCCGAGTCGTGCAGGGGGCGGGGGTTGGTGTGCGGGGGGCGGATGATGGGGTCAGGGTATGGAAGGTGATGGTGAGGGACGGATGATGGGGTCAGGCTATGGAAGGTGATGGTGAGGGATGGATGATGGGGTCAGGCTATGGAAGGTGATGGTGAGGGACGGATGATGGGGTCATGCTATGGAAGGTGAGGGACGGATGATGGGGGGTCATGCTATGGAAGGTGACGGTGAGGGACGGATGATGGGGTCAGGCTATGGAAGGTGAGGGACGGATGATGGGATCAGGCTATGGAAAGTGACGGTGAGGGACGGATGATGGGATCAGGCTATGGAAAGTGATGGTGAGGGACGGATGATGGGGTCAGGCTATGGAAAGTGACGGTGAGGGACGGATGATGGGGTCAGGCTATGGAAGGTGAGGGACGGATGATGGGGTCAGGCTATAGAAGGTGACGGTGAGGGACGGATGATGGGGTCAGGCTATAGAAGGTGACGGTGAGGGACGGATGATGGGGTCAGGTTATGGAAGGTGACGGTGAGGGACGGATGATGGGGTCAGGCTAAGGAAGGTGATGGTGAGGGACGGATGATGGGGTCAGGCTGTGGAAGGTGAGGGACGGATGATGGGGTCAGGTTATGGAAGGTGACGGTGAGGGACGGATGATGGATTCAGGCTATGGAAGGTGATCGTGAGGGACGGATGATGGGATCAGGCTATGGAAGGTGAGGGATGATGGGGTCAGGCTATGGAAGGTGAGGGACGGATGATGGGATCAGGCTATGGAAGGTGAGGGATGATGGAGTCAGGGCAGGAGACGTGTCAGGATGGAGGTCTAAGAGGTGGAATGTCCTGTATACAATCTGCCTACAAGGAGGCCAAACACGGTTATCCCCGGGTGAGCGGAGCCGGCACCACGTCAGACAGGACTTCAGTGGCCATTCTCTGAAACCATTTTTGGGACTTTAGGAGGTATGACCTACAGGTGGTGAAGAAGCCGGCCATAGGGTGAAGCACGACCCCGCCCCCTCTGAAGAGCCGAATATTAATTTCCTATCACATGGTTCCCCTAAACCCAAAACAATGGTACCGCCCACAGACACACCACAAGAGCCAATCAGCACTCACCTTAATCTTCTTGTCATTCTCATCCAGCTTGTATTCGGTGATGGTTTTGATCTTTCCATTGATGACCTCTTTGGGGGTGTCCAGGACAACTAGAGACAGGAAGAGGGATAATCAGTGTACCCCGAAGACGGAGCTGCCCCCCCCCCCCCCCACGACAAACACGGAAAAGTACA